GTAGAGCTACAGTCTCATCAGAGACTTCTGGTTTATCCTTTTCATCACACAGCGACTTTCTTCTTTTTCAGTGTACACAGATACATACACATAAAAGGAGACATCACCTCATGATCTGTAGATCCATTGAAAACTTTAAGGACAAAACTTTTGATAATTCATTCATGTATAGAGTGTTGACTTGAATATTGAATATCTAATGAATGGAACCAAGAGAATTAATTTAAGAAGTATTATATTGTATATTACTCTTTTAATTCATCTGTCAAATTTCTTAATTAAAAATTAAACTTAAAGGCTTAAATAAGGATTTTTTTTTCATTATTTTAATTAGAACAAGTTCTTTAATTTATTTTTCTCTTATATAAACGGGCATTTAAGGTCATACGCAACGTAGTTTGCACTTTATTGGGTTCTTCCCTGGAGTTGAAGAGTTCCATTAAATGAAGGACCTGTGTGCAATATTTTTATTGTCTATATATGGATTTGTAAATCTCTTCTAAAACAATTTTGATAAAAAAAAATCTGGAATTTATGTTTTGTAATTTTTGTACATTTTTATTTGAATAATGCAAAATTTTTCAAACTTTAATATCTTTTCAAAATCCCTGGAAATGCATGCTGATTTTTTTGTTTTAAAACATGTTATATGGTACATTTATTATAAGTTTAAATTTAGAATATCTTGAAAAATTATCAGTAGGTAAGGTATCTTGCGTATGTCCTTAAATGTAAAATGAAGGTATGTGTACCTTTATTCAATGAACTAGGGAACTCATGAAGTGTGCATATTTATATAATAGTGTTGTATTTTGCATGCACTATTCTTAAAAAGTAGTCAGGGTTTGACACATGGTGCACAAGCCGGAGGCTTTAGGTATAATGTACAGATAGTTTTAGAGAATAGTAGTTGAGTGATGGGGGCAATTGCAAGAAACTATTTTAGAAGAATTATTTTGTTTATTTTTCATCTTAAGTGTTAGCTGCAGAACTGTAGCTCTCTGAAAAAATATATATTGACAGACGGGAGAGCTACAGTGCCACCCATAGAAAAAACTGTATATTTATTGTGCACTTTTTGTGCGCTGTTTCTCGATTTATTTCTCAGTGTTTTTAAAACTGTCATCTCAAAATATTCCTAAACGTGTGTTTCTAACATATTCTTTCACTGTTTCCACAATAAAACATTCCTTATAATTGTTTTTAACAGCTCTCCTGGCCCTGAAATTGAAATCATTGAAAATTTTGCCTATTTATACTGCCATTTTGGTCTTCACGAGAATTCGGTCCAACGCACTTAGTACAAGTGTAAACTACGAAAGTTATAGAGGAGTAAGGACTTTTTTGAAATGTAGCTTTTTTTTCAATTGAGGTAAGAATTTCGAAGAATTAATTCAGAACCGAGCGCACTTTTTTGTGCGCAATAAATATACAGTTTTTTCAATGGGTGCCACTGTAGCTCTCCAGTCTGTCAACATATATTTTTTCTGAGAGCTACAGTTCTGCAGCTACTTAAGTGTAAAATATTTGAAACTAAGTTTATATATATTATAGTACATTGATATTTATAATGGCGTCTGTGTTGTAATCGGTAGCGCGTCGGACTGACAATCTCGGGGTTGTGAGTTCGCTCCCAGGCGTGGGCGCAGTCAGTTTTTCTTCAGAAAATGAAGTCGTGCACTATTTCGGCATAGTATGCTTATGCTATTTAAATCCTTAGAACACTATGCAAGAATAGTAGGGTATGGGTTATGTAGAGACAAACTGACAGGAAGCATAATAATTGACAATATGCATTTATGACAAGAAAATTGAAAATCTTCCTGAAAGAAGTTGAATAAATTTAAGCCACTTAAGTACCAATCTAGTTAAAATTAGATGTTAGATCAGCTCACATAGTCACTACAGTCAGTTTAGCGAGTATGCGTGCGGATCTAACATCTTATTTAAATTACACGTAGATTGCTGAGGTAAAAGTTTAATACATGTACCCAATATCATTCTGCTATATTTGCATCCGCGTGGGTATTAACAGTGAGCATTAACTAACTGTGGCCTGGACCTCTTATTTTATGTGTTATGGGGTGTCCAAAACAAGGTGCATGCTGACATTTAACAAAGAAGAAACTTGCAATGGCCTAAGGTGACTTGGCTATTATCAGTTGAATACATGTCAATGGTGCATGGTTATTATATGTACCAAAAAATAACAAGTAAAAGATCAGCAGAGTGCTTTTATTAAAGAAGTAACAGAACTAAGGAAAACTTGTTTTCTACTGGATGATATGAAACAATGAGTAGAGTACCACCGCAAATATTTCTGGATCCATGCCCTTTCATCATGTTTATTTTTGAACGGGTTCAATGAACTGTCAAAAATTCTTGATATGTTTCTAAGGTGTAGGTAGAAAGTTTTGAAATTAGTGAAAAGGTTGTTAAATATTTTTAATGCAAACTACCAGTAAATGTGCATAATGAAGATGGTTGAATTTTTTTCAACATTATTTTCTGTTCATTTGTCAGATCGGGTTCGTTATGTGTAAAATAATTTCCAGCTGTCATTGGAACAAAACAAGGCATGATGATCAGGATCATACAAAGAAAATTAAAAGTAAAAATTAGGTAAATTATTACAGTTTGTGCATCTAAATAAGTTTTAAAACTCTCTTAAGAATCTCAGAGTGACTGATACGACCCAATTTCATGTGATTTTTTAATTGGAAACCTATCAGTTTAGTGCAGCAAACAGGCAAAGATCTAACAACGTGAATGGATCTGATCATGTTGTAAAGCTTGACAAATGGCACTTATGCAATAAATTAACCTAAATGATCAGGAGGAAAATAAACAAAAAAAGATTTGTTCTTTCTTAATTGCATTTTTTATTTTTCCCATTCAAAATTTACATACAAGGAATAAAAGAAGGTAATCTACATACAAGGGAAATTGCCTTTTTACTTAAAAAAAAACAAAAAAAAAAAAACAAACCTGAAAGTTATAGAGATAAAACCACTTTTGATTTTTTGATCTTTAATCATTGAAAAAATTAAACATTACCCCAAAATTGGTTAATTTTAAGAAATTTAAAAAAAAAATGGTTTAGGAAACACATAACTTAAATGAAAATAAATAATTAATAGTAGTTAAACTGTTCAATAGTTTCTTTATTTGGTTTAAAACTGTTGTTTCTTTATCCCATGGGAGAATTTTTTTCTATTTTGTAATGAATATGGGATAAATCCCACATTTATAAAGAGATGGGAGATTATCTTCTATATACAAGTATATGGGAGATTTTGTCCCATTATAAAGCATTCATGGGATTTTCAAACTTCTATGGGAGAAAAAATCCCACAGAATACCTTTTTCTCCCACAGAATAATGGTGGGATATTGGTTAGGAGTAAAAATCCCACCATTATCCCATGGGATTTCTTTGTTTCAGGTGTAATATCTTTTTACCTAGAAGATAATCAGGTGTTAATTTTGGTTCATGTGTTAAGTTTTAAAAAATCCCATCAGATGACATAAATGGTTTCCACATATCTTTGGAAAAGTGGTTGGCGAAAGTCCGGACAAATGTCGTGTCCGGAGTTAAATGTCGCACTGTTATAAGAAAACAATAAAATGGCAAGAATCAATCCCCCCTCTTTGCGGCACATACGAGTGTTGATCCAAATGTAATGTGACAGCTTCTATAAAATCTTTAATAATCAAAAGTTATCAACAGAATTTAAAATACAAAGCCCCCTTTCTATTTTGATTTTTTGCCCTAAATTTCATTTCTTTATATGTATAAAATACTTTTTAAAATATTAAGATAAATACGACGTTAGGCTTTGTCTATCGCCGCACGGCAAGAATGTTACCGACGTCGTTATGACGTTACTTTTCGGCACTCATTTTCAGTCAACCCGCATGTCTTTTAAACCTCTAACCTGCTTCTTTTTATTAATCTTTGCTTATTTTGCTATAAACCGTCTTGTTTTGAGTTGCAGTATTAAAATCATTTAAACTTCATCCAAATGCTATTTGTTAATCAATTCCTTTTGCGTAAATCTTATGTTACATCAGATTGAAAATAAATGATGGAGAGAAAGGTCCTACATGTAACGACGTCGGTACATTCTTGCCGTGCGGCGATAAACGAGAATCAACGTTCTGTTTATTTTAATATTTTATAAAGTATTGCATGTCTGAATGAAATTTTATGACAATATCAAAATATATAGAGGCATTAGGGCATTAGTATTTAGAGCTTTGACGAAAACTTTCGATTATCGAAGATTTTACAGCAGTTGTGAAATTACTTTTGAATCAACCCTCGTATTAATGGCAAAAAGATTGAAAAGAAAAAGAAAACAAAAATTTATCCAAGCTCAACCAAATACTTTTACATAGATAATATCCGTTTTAGGCAGTTTATGAACATCCTTTTTTTGTATTATCTAAGATATTACAAACAAATAACAAGTTCAACACAGGATTTTTTTTCCTATTACAAAGTGGATCAAGAAAAAATTTGCCGTTTTTCTCATTAAATAAAATTTACATTTGTCAATTCCATACAGTTAACAAACTAAAAATTTTAAAAAAGCATTACCATAAAGAGTTCAATGAAAAGATCTGAAAAATCATTACCTCTCATTCTAAATTTGTAGAAGTTTGAAGATATGTTCTTAATAGCAAACTAATTATAAAGCACTAATTGTACATTTTTAGACTTTAACTAGACAAACAATTTCTTTACAAAAAGTATATTGATTTTAAGTGTTACAAGATTTTATATATAAGAAATGGAGGAGGACATGCTATTAAGAATACTGGTTTAATTAGATATTTAAAAAAAATTACAAATGCTTAAAATAATTCTGGAAAGTTAAAATTTGCATAACCCTATTAAGTATTTTTGAATTTTGACAATAAAGAGATTATTTTTAAATTGTTTAAATCATCTCGTTATAAAAATACCAAAAATACCAGAAAACAATTTATCACATGTCCGTCTAATTCTGCAATTCTAAAATATTTGAAATGGTTGCATGCTTCAGCGATTAATTTTGTTATCGTGATCCGGAAGACCCTCTGATATAGACATCCATGTATATGTTTGTATATAGAGGAAGTTATTTTCTCGTCAGGTAATGTCTTCTTTCGTTTTAAGATTTATGAACGTGAATCATGTTTTAATGTCTCAATTTATATTTCAAACTTATTTTTTCTTTATTATTCTTCCCTTCGTTTTTTATTTACTTTTTTTCCTTTATATAATTTAGTGCTAGTTGTATTGACAATCATTATTTTGACATTATACCTGCAGTGACCTGGGTCCTGTATTGTTTGATTTTTAATTATTTTTGTATCACATAGTGCATTTTGAATTCTGGAACATTTTGTATAGTGAGTGATGTACTCTTTTTTCCACTATCCGAATACACGTACTAATTTAAGAATTTATCACGGAAGCAAAAAATGTTAAAAGTTGTAAAGAATTCGGGTTACGGCAGACCATTCGATAACAAAATTATCTAAATAAACTAAAATGCTACTTGACCAAAAAAAGTTCTTTAAAGTTTTTAATTTTTTACTTATATTATTTACTTATTTATATTTTGATATAAGCTTATATCAAAGATTAGGAAAACTTAAAACAAAATATTTTTTAATTGTTGTTTTTATTTTTTATTTATTTATTTATTTTTTGAATCGCTCTTTTTTAGATTAAATCGCTTGAATTTTTATTATTTCTTATTTTGGATTGATAAATCTCTCTTTTTATATTTGAATTGTATTGATTCGTTTGTTTGTTACTAGTAGTTTTTGCGTTTTTGTTCGTTTTGTTTTTTCCCTTATTTTTTGGTTCTGTTTGTTGTTAATTTTTTGTTTTCTTTGTTATATTTTGGTTTGTCCGTTGCTTCTTGGTTTGTTTATTTCTTTTCTGGATGTAGGCGGAGTGTTCTTGACATACAATCCTCATCTTGAACTTGATGGGGCTGAGAAAAAATCTGAGATATCCGAGGATTCAAGATATCGAGGGTAAAATACTTACTGAATTATTGGTTGGGACTTCCAATTCACATTGAAATACCCAGGGTATTCGAGATATCGGTGTTCGAGATACTGAACCTCAACTGTATATAATGATCCTTAAATGCAATTAATTGTCGAAAGATGTATTCAAAGTCAATGAGAAAAGATACAGGATACACATGTACATTTTGATTAACATTTTATCAAATTATGATCGATATGTAATTTTATTTTTGTATTCTCATTTATTCACCATGTGTAAATTTTACTGTATATCCTGTTCTTTATGCATTAACTGCCTACTCTGTGGTCGTTTTAAATCAAAATAAACATGAAATCCTTAATGGAAATTCCGCTCAGAAATTTTCAATCTATTTTTGTATTAAAGAAGTCTGATAACACGATTTTCTGTGCAACATGATTTCCATTACTAATATTGAATATACATATAGATGTATGTTAAATCAACCTTGGAATAGTTCATTTAATTTTTCGGCATGAAAATATATTAGATAAAAATAATTGCAGATAAATTTGTCATAATTCATTTGTTCCCCTGACCCTTGACAAATCAAAAATAGAAAAAGCTGATGTAGATCAATCATTGAAAGGTATGCCTTATGTATAACAGTGGTGCGATTTCTTTCTACCATGAAAAACATCAATTTGAAACAAAAGCATATGAAAAAGTGCAAAAATCACTTATTTCATTTATAAATGGGATTATTTTTACCTGCTTATGGAGTTTACATGTATGTCTCCCAATTGATTCGATACGCAAGAGCATGTTCTACGTACGAACATGCGCTGGCACAATAAAGAACCCTCACTGCCCAACGGCCCCGAGAGCCAAGGACAGGTCTTAATTTGACGCTCTTTATCGGTATATGGTGATGTCTCTATATGAGTGAAAAATTTTACGTCCCGAAAAACACTACATTGAATCAATCTACGCACGAACAATTTCTTAAACGAGGCAGGCTATTGCCAAATAAGTTGATGATACAAGGATATCAATAATCACTTAAAGTCAACATTTTGCAAATTCTGTGGTCGATACGATGACCTTGTTTGCAAAATAAATATAATCACCGTTAAGGCAAATGTTGACCGGCGTCTAACAAAATACTGAAGATTTTTCACATTGAACTAGCTGCGGATTTTTCCGTTTACCCCCATCAAGACCAGGAGCACCAGTGCGTGTGACTGGTCGACAGGGGGTGCTTACTCCTCCGTGGCACCTGATCCCATCTGTGTTTTTAGAGGTCCCTGTTGGCTTTGCTCGTCATTTGTATTGTTTAAATGGACTTTTGAGAATGATCACTGACCGTTATCCTCAAATTTCATTTTATAAGGATATTTAAACAATAAGCGATTATGCAATACAAAGCTTCCTATTCATACCAGATAGAAAAGCAGAGTATGAAATTAAAGATCTAATAAGAAATAATATTTTACCGGAATTATCTTTAAATTTCATTTCAACTTTCAACAGATTTTGACGTTTTAACACTAGAAATTTTGAACACGATAATTATAACTAGACTGCTTGCCTAATTAGTTGCCTTGATCATCAAACAAACAAACAAGGGTAACTACAGAATATGGAATTCTAAATTCAAAGCTGATTTTAGTATGAAGAGCATTAACAACTGATGAATTTCTTGATCTTTACATGAACTTTAATTTGGCAAATTTCATTCGACCAAAAAATGATGTACATGTAGATGTAAAATAATGTAATCATATTTTATCAATGACCATTGCTAGCATTGGCAGTGCAAATAATTCAATGTTAAGAAAACTATCTGTTTATTTAAATACTTTTCTTAGTGACTAACTCGTTTTCAGTCTCATTTTAAAGTTCAAGGTCAATGGCCAATAAGATTGCGAAATCATAAATGTGTCATAACTCTTGTGTCGTTACTCATAATGAATTCAAAAATATGGTGCCCACAACCTAAAATATATAATTTATAAAGATCTTGACTCAAGGGTTTAATTGAAAGAACATGGTCACTTGGTAATGAGATAGTGAAATGGTGCCCGGGCCTACCTCTATAAACCTTCTTTGGAATTAATTTTAAACTTATGTATGTTTTCCCTGTCACCTAAAGAAGTATCGACCTCTTGACTCCTCATATCTCAAGGGTCAAGGTTATTGGACAGTGAGGTAGTAAAATAACTCATCAAATAACAAAAAAAAGAACCTTGATTGGAATGAAGCTAAATGGTGTATTTGGTATATCTTGATCTAAAGTTAAATGATGAACTTTACTCAAGGTCATATCTCAAAAGTTTTATTTGGTAATGAGATAATGAAATGGTCTCTGGGCCGTAATTCTTAAAATATTGCTTGCAATGAATTCATCTTCAATATTCTGTTACCCATGACCTTAAGGTATGTCATGACCTTGATCAAAGTTAACTCACAAAGTCAAGGTCGCATAGTGACGGCCAAGTGCACGATTGGGGAAGGGGCCCGGAGAAATAGGTTTTATAAATATGACACTATCAGCTGACAAAAATATTGAATCCATGCCCCCTATGTTCCTGCTCCTACAACCATATGTTTATGCTGCAATAAAATGAAAATCTTATGCTATATATTTTTATGGTTATCTCACGTTACTTTTGTTTGTACATAATCTCGGTTTAAAAAGAATCCACAAATCAATAATTCTAATTACTGTATAAATACTATCATAATGATAAAAGCAATTGAAAATCATAAAATTAAATCTAAATTAGATATACCATACTATTTATTAGTCCCCTACCGGTGAAACCGGAGGGAACTATAGGATTCCTCCTCGTCTGTCCGTCTAGCTGTCTGTCTGTCTGTCCGTCTGTCTGTTTGTCCCTCCGTCTGTCTGTCAGTCTCTCCCACTTGGTTTTCCGCATTTTTCTCTAAACGCTTGTAGATTTTGAGCTGCTTTTTATTTTGTGGGTGTATCTTGATGAGTTACAAATCAACTTTGGATTTTATTCCGCTTCAATGATTTTTTAGAGAATTACCGCCTTTTTAATTTTTAGCGGTTTTTCGCACTTTTTTTCTAAACGCTTGCAAATATTGAGATGATTTTTGGTATGTGCGTGTATCTTGGTTAGTTACAGATCAAGTTTGGATTTCGTTCCGCTTCAATGATTTTTTTAGGGAATTGCGGCCTTTTTAATGTTTAAGGGTTTTCCGCACTTTTTTTCTAAATGCTTGCAGCAAGATATTGAGCTGATTTTTGGCATCTGAGTCTACCTTGATAAGTTATAGATCAAGTTGCATTATGTTCCGCTTCAATGATTTTTTGACGGAATTACGGCCTTTTCAATTTTTAATGGGAACCAAATTGCACTTGACGGTAGGGGACTAGTATTGCTAATGCAATACTCTCAGAATGATTGGTGTGATAAAATTGTTGTAAACTGATTAGAATATGTCTATTAATCTAATTAATGATGAGACATTCTCACAGAATAAACTCTGTAAACTCTCATACTCAGTAAAGTTGGATGGGGGCTGATCACGAATTCAGAGTAATTGTTCCTCATATAATACATTTCGTAATATGTCAATCAAGTATTTCAAAATAAATGAATATTCACAACCCCAGTTTCCTGTTCATATAGTCTCTACTATTGATATTCTTCTTCTTTTGAAAAAATGGAGAATGACAGGCATTAACTAGAACAAGAAACATCTGAAATGTTCTTTTCTTATAAATGAGCTACAAGTTCATGCAAACTTCGGGAGCTGGAACAAAACTTCCGTATGGATCTCATGACCTTATTCTGTCAGTTTGGCTAAAAATAGGCAACTTATGAATATATTTGATGATACTTTAGTTTTTCAAGGGTATATGCAGTATTGTTCATAATTGATATTGCTAAACTTGAAGTTCAAATAAACTTTGTCTGTCATGTGTTCATTTTAGAGATTAACATTGATGAATTTTTGTATACTAATCGTAAAGAAAAAAAACGAACTATTAATATAACAATTTATATACTCCATCGACACAAGGTTATAGAGCTGCCCTATTTATATAAGCGTCTCACTAATTCATACAGAATGAGAATATCTATCACATTATAAACTGTGTTCTCTATAACCTTGATGGGTTCCACGAGTTCACTATAAGTCTACGCACTTTTGAATAACAACGTTTACGATGTGTATTAGAAGAAACATTGTATATCTCAAAAGTAACACCATAAAAAACATACACATAATGGATTAAAAATGCTTAAGCTATTGCACTAAAGTACTTGCCAATTTGGTTTCCAGCTTCAGAAAAGTTATATCCATTATAAGAAAATATCTTAATTTTGCCATAGGCAGTAACATAATGATTGTGTGGGTGTCGTTCTTTTTGAATCTACAGGAAATATTTCCTTGTTTCTTGGGTATTCCTATGTTTTATTTCCGTAAGGAAGTATTTTATAAAACGGGTACATTTATTGATATCAACGTATATTACAGACCATAGAAATAGACATCACGGTGTTCTATAAATAAATGAGTTGACATTAGGTTTCTATTACTAGCCAGAAGAACCTGTTGGGATGAACATATATTATACTCGGGTCGTTTTAAAGAATCACTTGTCTGTAGATCAGTTCCACCATTGAAAGATTCCATATACAGTGCAGATTCAAATTCAGATTGTAAAAGATTTTCAAACTTAAGAAAAGAGCTCCTCAAAATGCTTCATAAAGAAATATGGAATATGGAGATAACGAACAGTAGTCAAGCTAAAATGTCCATTGAAAAAATACAAATCGGGAGCAGAACAAACATGGACATCTAAAAGCATCAAAGGTAGTATCATATGCCATGGAGGAGTAAGCATCCCCTTGATGGGTCACACCAACCGTGACGTTTTCCATACTAATTGCTAGGCCATTATTTACACACTGAATTGTAGACGGCTTTTTCTGTTATTTCCCGATCATGACAAGGAGCACACTGCGGGTGTGACTGGTCGACAGGGGATGTTCACTCCTCCATGGCACCTGATCCCACCTCTGATGTTTTTGGAGGTCCGTGTTTGCTCTGCTCCTTATTTGTGTTGTTTTAATGGACTTTGAGCTTGAATACTGTTCGTTATCTCCATATTTCATGAATAAAAAACATTGTTTTGTTTCTCCTTTCCCCATCTGTAACCTTTAGCACGACCTTGAATCTCAAAGAAATTACACACCTTAATGTCATCGGCAAGAACATACCATAGTTTGAATATTGAAGCAGAAGGTTTCAAAATTATGTAGCCCAGCGGCTTAAGAGCTGAAACACATTAAAAGTTTGAATTTGTTGAAATCAAGAATTCAATAGCCATGGCCCTAACACCTTTCACAATTCGTGACATTGACTTTTTGGATTTGACCTTGAGTCGAAATATTTATACACGTTTAGGTCAAACTTTAAAAGTATGCATTCATTGAATCAAGGTTTTGAGAGTTACTGCCTTGTCACAATCTCAATGTCGTTGCCCAGTGATCTTAACCTTTTCAGAAATGACCTTGATCAAGATCTCTACGCATCTTCAGATCATAGGTAGCAACATACTAGTGTCTGAATTCAATCCGATCAAGATTTTGACAGTAATGGCCTATTTTAATTTTTTTACTAACTAGTTGGGCAGTGATGGTAACTTCTGAGGTGTATCCCCGAATCAGTATGCCTAGGGACTTTTTTTAACAAAGTTAGAAATCCACGACAAAATTAGGGGGCTGCAACCTTACTTCACAATATAATACCAAAAAATTCTGATCTTTGTTCACAGGAAATTCTAAAAAGTATACTATTACATGTACGTAAGTAGGATGATATATAAACTCATTTTATTTGACTAATTTAATAGGAAGTTTATACAGGAAAGATTCTGCGTTCTTAGATACTTAAAACATTTACCTAAAATGTATTTTAAGGTATAAAAGAGGATATCAACGGTGTTATCATTATTATTAGGGAAAATATCGGAAAGTGTCAATGTAATATATATTTATTGATGTTAAAACAGTGATAAACCCTTTTGATACGGTAGTGTGAAAAATCTCATATACGGTATGTAACGTTTAGAGTGTATTTCATGACTAGTATCTGTTGTATTGGCCAATGGTAACACAAGAAATATTCTCTTAAGTTGTAATTACAAGAAATAATTGTCTATACTTTTTTTAGTCTACGGGGTAATGTATACATGTTCCAAACAATGGTTTTTATTCCTGCATAAACAGTGAACTTATGTGCTGTTTATGCGAATTACCATGTGTTCCAGTATACATACACTGTACCTTCATAAACATAAAACCTAGACAGTTATTACAAAAATACATGAAAATTAATTTTCTGATCTACAGCTACCATTTAATATATAATTACTGTAATATTTATCCATGGCGAATTGTCTTTAAAACTATTTCAGGTTGCACAAATGTCACTGTGGTGTTGTCAATTCATATGTCTTGGTTTTGCTTTTGTATAATAAAACACATGCTTATTTACTTTCTGTTCGGACAATAGCAAAAGTATATTGTTCCTCTTGACAGCAACAGTTTTCTGCAACTCGTCGATAAGTTGCTGTCTTGCGGACGATAAGATTGCTGTTGTCCTTTTAGCCAGAAAATAAGGCATATAATACTCAATGTTGTTTCTGCGTTATTGTTGCTTTTCTGGATTACTGAATTTACTATGTTGAATTTTGTAACTCATCGAATGCAAAAATATCTTCAAAATGATAACATATATATTTTTTTCATTGTGTGAATTAAAATTGATTAAATTGACTAAACCTTGTTTTCTTTACAGATCCCAATGTTTACATCGTGGTCCAGCTACCCACAGCGGCAGACGACAGTCCTACCTCAGCCATTGGTTCCCGCCAGTTTAGGTAGGTGTTTACACGTTAGGAGCCGTCTACTTTTGAGAAAGATAAGTGATAATTAATGAGATAATTGACATTGACATACGTGCAAAGCTTTAAAATGTTGTTTTTTTCCTTGGGAGGAAAAAAGACCACTATGTTTGGTTTTAGCCTCAGTACTAATATATTAGCTATAAAATTTTATACTGGTATGTTACTTCACAGTTTTTTTTAAACAAAATCGAAACATGCATCTCCTTTTTGTGCTGACTCCAAACCTCGGATGTGATTTGTGAAGGAATATGCATCAAATCGATGCATTTCTCCACCGGAAGTACCTTTTAACTCATTTCATATTTCGCATTGCATAAAGTTCACCCAAAAAAAATCTGTCTTGTCTAATGTCTCTTTGTACATTTGTTTTGATTACAACGCTATGTTAGCAGTAATTGAAAGTAGAATTAAAGTGTTGGACATGCCACAAAGTAAATTGGAATTCAAAGGAATAATATTATATTATAAATTATATGGAGGAATTTCGTATTTGATCACATGATTGTTCGAGGTCAGTGTGCGAGGTAAGAGCCAAGAGGAGCTCTGAGTGCCTTTTCTTAATTTCCTAAGACGACAAAAAATATTTGAAACCTTTAATCTGATTTTTTTATGACAAGACATGGATGTCAGAAAACTTAAATGGAGAACTCTGCGAAAGATTGAAGTGTTGAAACTAATATTTGAGGAATCTGATATTTGTAATTAAATAGAACTGCTATGTTAGCAGTAATTGAAAGTAGAATTAAAGTGTTGGACATGCCACAAAGTAAATTGGAATTCAAAGGATATTATATGGAGGAATTTCGTATTTGATCACATGATTGTTCGAGGTCAGTGTGCGAGGTAAGAGCCAAGAGGAGCAAGTTGGAGACCGGTCCTTCGGATGAGACCGTATAAACCGAGGTCCAGTGTCTCAGTGGATGCTGGTACATGTACGAAAAAGATCCCAAATTGTTCAATGGCCTTGAGTGCCGAGTATAGGTCAAAATTTGCAGCCCTCCACCAGCTTGTGATGATGTATGAGTGAAAATTCTCGAGAGGGACGTTAAACAACGAACAACAAGATGTGTTTGTGAAACAATGATGCCCCCGTATGGCAACTTATAGCAAAGGTTAAACTTTCTAAAATGCAAATCAAATATGCTGGTACCCAAAGTAAGGTCTTGTACCGAGGAATATACCTGTAAAATATGAAAGCCCTAGCAGCAACTATTGAAAAGATATGGAAAAGGTTAAAGTTTTTCAAAAGTAAGTCAAACATCAAGTTCAAGGTCAAATGGTCAAAATTAATGATGCCCAAGTAAAGGCCTTCTCACAAGAAATACACATGTGAAATATGAAAGCCCTAGCACCAACCGTTTAAAGATATGGACAAGGTTAAAGTTTTTCAAAAGTAGGTCAAACTCCAAAGTCACGGTCAAAGGGTCTTGTCACAAGGATTGCATATGTGAAGTATGAAAGCCCTAGAACCAACTGCTCAAAAGAAATGGCCAAGGTTAAAGTTTTCCAAGAGTAGGTCAAACTCCACGGTCAATGAGCTAAAATTGTTGGTATTCAAAGGAAGGTCTTGTCACAGGGATTACATATGTGAAGAATGAAATCCCTAGCACCATACGTTCAAAAGATTTGTCCAATGTTAAAGTTTTTCAAAAGTAGGTCAAACTCCAAAGTCAAGGTCAAAGGGTCAAAGTTGTTGGTATCCAAAGGAAGGTCTTGTCACAAGGATTACACATGTGAAGTATATGAAAGCGCTAGCATTAACCGTTCAAAAGTTATAGCCAATGTTAATTTTTTTTAAAAGTAGGCCAAACTCCAAGGTCAAGGTCAAAGGGTCAAAGTTCTTGGAATCCAAAGGAAGGTCTTGTCACAAGGACTACACATGTGAAGTATGAAAGCCGTAGCACCAACCGTTCAAAAGTTATGGCCAAGGATAAAGTTTGGTAAAATTTTGTAAAACTGGGTCAAACTCCAAGGTCAAGGTCAAAAGGTCAAATATGATGGTAACCAAAGAAAGGTCTTGTCTCAAAAAATACACATGTGAAATATGAAAGCCATAGCTCCAACCAATCAAAAGTTATGAGCAATGTTTAAGTTTTTGCGGACAAAGACAGACGGACGGACAGGGCAAAAACTATTTACCCCTGAATCTTCGATACGGGGGGCATAAAAAAATAGGCTTGAAATTTTATTCATACTTGTTTGCGTTTTGTTTCGTTTTTCATGTTCAACAAAGATATACGAGAGACAGGATAAGTTTTTGTTGTGTTTCCCTGTAAGTTTGTTCACGATAAATATGTTGGAAATATATAATTATAATTAATGTACAATGTGATTTGAAACTTTTCAATAGAATTATAATTTTTAGCATAAACCAAATCTGTCAATTTGGTTATCCACATCGATAATCTTTGTTCTTATAGAAGTTGACTTATTTTCCCCAGTAGACAGATAAATCAAATGTTCTGCTTCCCTCTTCATAAAACCAGGTATGTGACAGTGATTTTCAGAGTAATACTTGATCCAACTTTTTTTTTAATGAAAAGTAACTCTTACTTCCAAGGTCTTCGACACTCAGAAGTATTCTATTGTCTGTTGAAAGACTAATTGTTATAAAAGAGTCGTAAATGAAGTATCATACTTCCACTGTGTTATATATGTTAACCTCACAATCTGCTAGTACCGATGTCAAACATTAGTATACTTCCTTATAGTGTCTGACTTCTTTAGTATAACAAATACATGTACATGTATCTCGAGAAATTATGATACTAATGTAAAGTTTCCTCATTCGTAATGATTTGTCATTATTTGTTTTAAAGGCATATATGTATGATAATACAGACAAATACATGTAGATACACATTTTAAACTTTGACAATATGAAACTATTTATATGTATTATTTCAAAATATTTTGAAAACTGAAGTGAGACAACATTTGTTTTGAACATATTTTATTGACAATATGTTAAACGGTTTGGACACAAGTTCCAAAAACTTAGGTGGTCCTCTCCTAAGATGTCATACCTTAAAAAATTGTTTCGATCATAAATTAAAACTTTAAAAGGCTATTATTTCCAATGTTTTTACTGAACTAACAAAAATATATTTTGGACCCGTCATTGAGATTTTGGACCCTATTACTACATTTTTTAAAAATCTTATTTAGTTAATTTGTTTACTACTCAGATTAGGTGGAATCAACATGCTATATTTAGATTACATTCGTTAGTGTTCCACAGTTAGTAAATCGTATAACAAAACATTTATTGGCTGGATTCGAGGACAGAATGCGTTTTGCCAAATTCTTTAATGAATCTGTTGCCTTCGGCCTGCCTCAGGTAATCAGTTTGGTTCTCGGGTAAAAAACAAAAAAACATGTTGCCCTCGAACATAGTCAATACAAAGAAATGCATGTTCAATAATCTGACATTATGATAATTTAAAAACAAAGCAGAAAAATTTTCTGTCAATTTCCATATTTGTTTTAAATTCTAATTAGCATTTCGTGTTTAAACGGAAACGCATAAATTTAGATAAATCCGCTTTGCAATGCCTGACCGATATACTTCGCGACAAAACAGACATCTCTCGATGCTAATGATAAACCTGTAATATCCGCCGGTACCTTTTTATTTAAAATAGAAAATTTATATTTATGTACAAAGTGTTACCAGGTGCAGAAATGTTATCCTTAGAAAAATATTACGTGACCTGCTTTGATTTTCTTTTAGAAAAAAATAATTAGGCAATATAATTTAAAAGATTTTACCAGGGACCTACAGCCTGTATATTATGTAAGACCCTTATTTTACCATGGAATTTTGTGTTACATTACGTCATTTCACTTTATATTTTAATAAAGATACTTTCAAACTAGAAATTATGTTTTAAAAAGTTTTATTTTTCAAATGAAATTGCTAGTTTTTCAGTATTCATTGAAATGTATTATTATATCTAATTACAACTCCATTCCAGTGTTAAAATTCTCCTGTATTAACTAATTGGTATGAAAAAAAAACTGATTTATCTACATGCTCCCGAACAACAGTTACAAAAGTGGGGGAGGGGCAACTCCCCCCCCCCCCCCAAAAAAGAAAAACAAAAAAAGAGAAACTAATTTACTGTCCAAATCCTGAAATTTGCCAATGTCCGACCTTACAACATCAACAAGAGGGAGATGGGGGCAGCCAGCATCTAAAGGAAAATTTACTATAGCAAAATACTATACTCAGAAAAAGTTCCACCCCCCACCCCACCCCCAGCGTTCTACGGCCTGCTGTTATACATTTTGCATTCCCAGTGCGATGCAATGGATCTATACCTGTATCTATACTGCACAATTTAGAGACATCAAAACTCACCATGAAAGAGACATTGGTTTCAGTTACTCAAATGAAAGGGAATAAAACATATGGTTGTAGTTTGGGTGTACATGTGCCATTAAAAATTCGTTAAATGTGTCTATATAAGCTTTTGTCATGATGATGTTATTTTTGATTTTAAAAAAAAAGAAGGAACGAAAGGGGAACTCTAATATAATATCAGATTTCGTCCCATGGTACTTTATGACAATTTTGTATCAGGAACAGAAATGCCTGTCGTGTTCTTATTCGTTGGTTCCTACTTGTGCACGAATTGTCCATACTTCCGTCTCCGGATCAGATGAGATTATACTTTTTTTGAGCTCGAGGTCTGCAAGATTTACAGATCTCTTATTACCTATATTATGGTTGTCAATCAACTGAATTAAAAGCTGTATCGATGTGTAGGGATATAGATAAGGATCGTGTCTTCCTGGTTATGTGCTCTTACAGCGTAGGTGGATTCAAATGGTCAATTAAAGTCTGTTCGTATTCAAACATGTATGTTTGTTTAAGGTTATCGCCAAGGATACCTTCTAACTTTTATCAAATTCATAACCATATTGTTTTTTAAAACAATGAATATTGAATTCACTAATGAACATGCAGAAATTATACTTATCTAAAAGCTTGTGGTTTTAAAGGTAATTGACTGCAAATCAATTTTTTGTCATTTAATCAATTTATAGAATATTTTTCTTCTTTTTTTTTTATTTCAACCTAGGCCTGTGTCATTTGGGGGGGTTCAGCTTTCCATAAAGTACATGTGCATTTGCTGTTAATGAATAGTACAGCTCTATTTCACCTATTCGTTCTCGATCTATATATATATATATATATATATATATATATATATATATATATATATATATATATATATATATATATATATATATATATATATATATACAAAGGATTTTTTTATATTGTCTCTTGTGAAGTTATGCATGATCACGCCATGATACAAATTTTGGAATACATAACGAGTAAAATCACCGATTGCTTTTATTCATGGCACAGTGTACTTGTTCTAGACAGTAAGATAAAAGCAACTTGGTCACATTCTAAATTCATCAGGCACTTTTCAGTCATGTGTATTTGATGTGGAATTGATTGAAAAATTAAAAAAGAAAAGCATAGATAAATTTGTATGTAATTTTATCGAAGTTCTACGCAAGAGGGAGTTATTTTAAGGTGGTTTGTGATGGTTTGATATCAAGAAAACTTGAAGAAGTGTTATTATTTGTCTTAATTACCATTGCTTGTTGCGTTATTATAAAACAGTGCCAGTGTTTACTGAAACATCTTTATTTGGTTGATAAGAAAACAAAGATGCAATAAGAGTCGACAATTACATATGAAAGAATTGTACTGAATAAATATAAAGAATGAAAATAAAATAAACAAATCGAACTATTGGAAGCTTTAAATTATATTTGGGAAATTCTAACACACACAGACACCTCACACACACCCTCACTAAATACAGAGTAACAGAAGTCTGGTTTATACATGTACACATGTCAAGCATTTTTATTATTTTATTTTTTTTTAGTTTGGTGCACAGCCAGGTACTCGGCGTTATATTTTCCTTATCACATTGACAAAAAATATAAACCCTCCTCTTACGATAAGAAAAAAAAATATAAGGTCAAGTGCCTTAAATTCAGTTTATAGTGTCAATTACAAAATTGTAAATTTTTAATCTTTAGGAAGTACATGTTAAAATGGTCATTTTGAAAAAAATAATTCATCAAAATGAAACTGTATACACCAAGGTAAAGCAACATAATTCAGCACTTAACAGTCACTTAGTGCTCAGTCGCTCCTCTAGGATGTAATATATACACAACAGTTTCCGAGACATTTATCGCCGATTTTTCCTCCTTCCTATTAAATCGTTTCCGAACACAGACAGATAATATTGTTTATAGACAGGAATCCAATCAGTTCTCTGTATCGGCTTCAGAGCGGCGGCAGGTAATCATGCTGGTCAATGAAGCTGTTTTTCGCTTTATTCAAGGTAAAAGGATGTCATATGGGAATTTTAATGTGGTGGTTTTTACTTTTCATCATGGCTTTTTTTTAATTTATTTTCTACTTACCTGTCCCTTTTGTGTATTTCCTTTTAAGGCTGTTTACATTTAGTAGATATACATATATCTAAGTATATTGTATAAATACATATTTTTGATTGGAATAATGTATTTATTTTTAGCCAAGCACCCCCAACAATGGACCAAGGAGGAGGTTGCGGCGTGGCTCCGGTGGTGCGGGGAGGAGTACTCAATAGAGACAGTTTCCGCCGATAAGTTCGACATGAATGGTAAGAAATGTCCGTATCTCTATATCGGGCTGTGTTTAAGACTCATTTAGAAAGAGATGAGGAAGAGAGGAGAGATGGGGAAGGGGAGGGTCAATTAGCAGACATTCATTTTTGGCGTGGTGAAAGAGTGTAAGCTAGATGTTTCATAAAGACTTGATACAGGTATCAAAGTATAAAACAATTTACATAGATGTGATTTATACTTTTGTCGTGAATTTACGACCCCAGAAATAAATTATGACCCAGAAGGTCGTGCACTCTTTTTCGGTGAATTTTAAAGGGAAACTTATCTACAATGCTTATAAAAATGATGACTAATCAACTATTATCAGCTTGAGTAATACTTTTTAAAAAAAAAATAATATCTCTCCCAATGCAATTTTAATTAGACTTTGAAGTACTTTTCTGAAATTAAAGATGGACCTTATTGTTCGAAATAAGACTGATCGGACTAACTGCCTTTTCAGGAGTATAATTCAAGCTACATTTTCACGATAAATGTTGGGAAGTTATTATTTTTTGCTTCCTTGTAAATATACTGTTCGAAACAAATAGTCTACGGTAAATATCTATATAGCAGCTTAAAACTATCCCTACATACATGTATCTTACTTTTCCTTTTGATTCGCGCAGAGCTTCATGTACTAATGAAGAAGTCATTTTGAAATATACAGTACTGATCTAAGGAGTTCTAAGTTTTATTTTAAAACACTCAGATCGCTGTTTATTAATTAAAACAAGGTAGAATGTTTGCCACTCTTAAAAGGGGAATTTTATAGCGTATAAATTATTTAAAAAGAACTCAACATCCAAATGTTTCGAACGTGAAGGCCATCCGATATTGGCTCCTGATTCCAGGAAGTTATAAAAAAAAGATTATGCTGACTCGCTAAGCATAAATGACTTGTTTAACTTTATAAGCATCACGTTTCCTGTAACATAATACGCAAAAATCGTGCAAAACTATGTGTGTTTTTTTCTTACTATTCATGTTCTGAGTATGTACATAGTTTACCATGACGTGATTTTGTCCATAATGTTTATGGTGTATGTGATGTCTGAAAATGGAGCCCAAGAGAACTGAAGTTGTTAACAGCAAAATTTGGGGAAGGAAATATAAGCCAATGTCAGAGAAACGCTTTCTCTGTACTAAGTAAATAATAAACTGATATAATAAAAAGACTGGGTGTCAAATGAGTAGAGAGCTGTAAAGTACTAGGAAGATATAATCGTTAATGTCATTCTAATTATTAGTTAAGAGTATCTAAAACTAAGCATGCCACGAAAAACACTCATGTAAAGATCTCATATATCAAAAAATCAGATTAAGTTTTTTTTTTTTTTTTGCGATAAAAAATAGAATTCTTGATACGAGGGCATTAAAAATCTACCATTTAGTCTTCTGACAGTTCCGCCTCGTAATGACAGTGTCTTTTTAAACAGGAAAAGCCCTGTGTCTTTTGAAGAGAAGTGATTTTATGGAGCGGGTGCCAAAGAACGGAGACCTTCTGTTCAATGCATTAAATAAGCTCGTACAGAAAAACTCAGGTGAGTCTTTATGGCATCTTTTCACAAAATTTTCCATAACAAGAAAAAGAAAAAATGCAATCTTCATTAAGAGAGATTTTAATTTCCTGCAGGTATTTATTCCATTAATGCACTGCAGTGGATAGACCTTTGTCAAGTCAGTTTTTCAGGTCACAGGATATTATTTCTTGTTTAATTGTAGGTACATTTGAGGGTCAATCCCAATCAGGATCCCCCTACCAAAATATCTCACCATCACCGTCCACATTTCAGATCCCACAACAGTTTTCGTCGCCAGGTAATAATTTATTTTTAGTTGTATTACTTGCAAGCTATTTCTTTATACTGTAATTTTATGAAGTGGCGGCTCTTCTCATATAAAACTACTTCTTGGCGTAATTAATAATGGACTACAACTCACTGGGTGAATGGAATAAGCACACCTTCAACCTCTTCCTCCAATCAGGATCAGAAAATTTTATTTAACCTCGGAGTAACAATATATATAAACTCTGAAGAGCTTTTGTCAGACATGGTCGTATTGCTTGTCAAAATCAGATTTATTTTTCAGATATATCCACCTCTTTAATTAAATTTTACGATAGCAGTAAAATTTGCTACTCTGAGCTGGGAATCTTTAAAAGATAATAGATGGAATAACTCTGTGTATTTGATACACATTTCAAGCTTTCGAAAAGTTGAGCAAATGTAAAAGTTTTAACAAGATTCCTATCAATATTATAAAGACATACAGCTTTTTCAATAACTGCAAACAATATTGAAAAAAGTGATAACACTACATGTAATTAAACAGATGCGATTTCAAAAAAAAGTATGCATAAAGTACATTCAACTCTCTTGAGATTTGATATTTGAGTCAATCAGGTGAAAGAAATTAAACATTAATTTCAAATTGTCTCTGTGATCCCATCTCCAAACGCACTGATCCACTTCCTTTCCACCAGGAAACGGATCACAGGAAAGCGTTCTATTGACGATATTTATGGTCATGTAAAAACTTAATCATCCGGATATTTCAGGAAAACAGTAGGGAGTGATAATGATCGGGAAAATGTCAAACATGTCTGCATTTCCGCGTTGATCTTTGAGACAGACCGGATGTAGGGCAAGTAAAATGTTTCCTATATGACACCAACTTGCTGCTAGTAATTCAAGGTATTGATCCACAGACTTGTTGCGTTTTGAATTTGCGGTGTTTCCGTGTTGTTTTTTCGTGTTTCCAGGTAACATGGCACCGTCATTTTGTCCGTACAAGGAAAGGCTACGTTTGTTCAGAGCTTTAAAACTCACAAACTATTTTTTTATCGACAGCTACATTCATGTATTTGTTTAAAAACAACAGCTGCATGTCATTCCCACCCAATAAAAAAAAATCGAATAAAATGCATACAAATTTTGTAAGGTCTAATTATAAATAAGAGATGGGAAGATCTAGAGTTTGAGATAAAAAGTAACATTGGTACTTGAATATAAGTACATTTATGTACAATGACCTACTCTTATTAGTAGCGGTGCTAGGAGGAAGTCATTTACTGAGGTGGAGGAAGGCAAAAGTGAAATAAAAGGAAGCAATTTAATTACAGGAAGCAATTTCATTCGCCGTAAAAGCAAAGTGAAAATGTTTAATAATTTATAACGGATGTTTTTTATTCAATATATTTATCAATAAATTTACGATATCTGTATATATGGAAAGCCAACGGGTTCAAAATTGCAACTCTGTAATGCTGAAAGAGCACATATAAACCTTTATTTGTGAATTGTAAATCGTAATTTCATAATTTGTCAATTGTTCTATCAAAATTTGTTAATTGTAACTGTCCAACAAAACGTGAGTCAAATAAGTGTAAAATGTAAATGTTAGCTATGTCATTTCTCACATGTAATTCATAGACTTGCGATTTGTCAACTTGTGAAATGTAAATTATACTTTCACGATTTGTAAATTATACAAGGTTGCGTCATGTTGTAAATTTTGAATTTACCGGGTGGCAGTAAATACAAAATTTACAACATGACAGCTCCCGACCAATTAAGACCCTATAGAAACTATGAACGTCTTATTGTTCGCTTTGAGTTCCCAGACGATGCCACTTCCGATTCTGTCAGCCGCCATTTGCGTTCCTTTCTGGCTATGATTCTTATAAAACAGATTTAATACAAACTCCGATTAGTCATGTTGTAAATTTTGTATTTACTGCCACCCGGTAAATTCAAAATTTACAACATGACATTTGCATTGTACTAACGCCTAATAAGACGAAAGGGGGCGCCATAAGGGTGGCAAGTCATTTCGCCTCAAAGTTAAAAAGATCGTCAGATGAATTGAGTTTTGTAATATGCATGCATATTATGCCTTCAAATGGTCTCTTAAGTTGTTTACAAATAAGGTGGTTGAATACAGAAAATGCAACCTTGCATAATTCACAAATCAAGAAAGTACAATTATTTACATTTTACAAGTTGACAAATCGCAAGTCTTGAATTACACATGAAAATTGACAAACTTGCATTTACATTTTACACTCTTCAAGTTAAGTTGGATAGTTACAATTAACAAACGGTAATAAAAACAATTGACAAATTATAAAATTATGATTTGCAACTGGGATGTTAAATTGATTCCAAGGTTTAAGTCCGTCGTCCTTTAATAGTGTGTTTTTCTCTTTTCAAAATGCTACAGTTCTGTGAAATTCTTTTAAAGTGCCACTCCTCCTACAGTTTTTGTCCGATTCAATTGAAAATTGACACAAAAGTTGACTCATCAAGTCTACATAATTCAGTTTATCGGGTTTTGATTTATATCAATGAATGGTATTGCCATGTTTACTAAAAGTAGAAATTTCTGTAAAATTCTTTCCAAATGCTCTATCTATTTTCCCTAGCTAAGCATTTGTCCTATTTGATGAAGCTACATGGAGATATACACGTATATAACATTATGATAGTTACATGTTTTCGATGAAATGTGTTGCCATGGTTATCAAAAATAGAATTTTTCTGAAAAAGGATAAATTCTATCCTCGTTGCTATCGGTTAGTAAAAATAGAATCTACTCTAAAGCGCCAGCTATTTCTCCTACAGCTATTGTCTGATTTGAATCAAACTTGGTACATTGCATTACATCATGATAATCCTTTTACCAGTATTTAATTTCGGTGCAGGGTGTTGCCATATTTACTAATAAATAGAATCCGTAAAATGCTTCTCCTACAGTTCACCTTGACACATTATTCCGTAAATTGTTGATTTTTTTTTATTTCCATAAATGGTGTTACCGTGGTTACTAAATCTATCAAAACTCTTTTCCTCCTACTGCTTTAGTCTAATCTGAACAAAACTTGGTACACACGTAGATAACATGATAATTTATTTCATAATTTTGTCTGATTTTGTTGAACGGTGTTGCTTAATATTGAAATTTCTGAGAAATACACCTACAGTTTTTGTTGGAACTTGGTACATAAGTACAATTCACCAAGGAACGTAATTCATTATTTTTATGAACTGTGTTGCCATAACTACTAAAACTAGAATTGCGCTTGAAATTTGTTCAAAATTCTACATATCCTGTAGTTTTTACAGTATTTGATTTTAGTAAATCCCCATACAAGTTTAGAAAACATCAAGGCAAAAAATTCTAAAATGTCAAATTTGATTTTAAAAGTGTTTCTAATACTAGTGCATGTACATATGTAACTTATCTAGGCATAAGTCAAATCAGCGGAACTTAGACCTGTTTCGTCAGAGACTTCCGGTAAAATTTATTTACTATACAACTTTACTTTTAGATCAGACTAACGGAGGTTTAGTTCTTATATCCCGGTCCAATGCACAGACAACACCAGTGTATACTACCAAAGTGAGGCCATTTGTACCCATACTTCCACATCCGGTGAATCATATCACAAAACAAGAGATACCCCCCGTCACTACAGTTCCAGGTAGTTGTAAGAATTAAGATACATTTCTGTTTGATTTCAAAAGTCTGAATTAAGCAAAGAGGTGTAAATTTACTTTAAGTGCATGCATATAGATGCACATAGATCGTTAATTATGGGAAATAAAAGGTTATTTGTAACGCCGTCATCTTTCTGCCTTAACAGCTTTAGTTTTTGACAATTCTTATTGCATTTATTGTACTTAAAATCTGTCTATGCAAGTCTTTTAAATTATTTATACATGAAATATTTTCCATTTACAATTTTGGAATCCTTTTATTCCATAGGAATTTTAAGTCCTGCGCCCAGTCCCTCCGACACAGGAAGTGGATCGGACGTAGATTCCTGTACAGAATATGACGGTAGCTATTTAAATATTTATTACTTCCAATGTATATTTTACTTCTGTTTATCTCTGCCTAAGTAAATACAAAGTAAATTAAAATGTTTACCAATAAAAATATAACCCAGGAAATAATTTACAGATCGCATGACGTGTAGAAATCCAATTCAGCCATTGCAATTGAACTACATGAATCAGCTACGCCCAACGATGGCCACAGGTTCAGAGCTTGTTCCATTCCTCCGAAGCAAGGAATCAGGTATGAGTAAGTTACAATTTTTATTTACTTTCGTTAAAGTATATTGTGTTGCAATCATAGTAGGTGTCAACCTTTCCAAGCACAGTTTGTGGTCTTTATGGTTTGAGTGTTTTGTTTGTAGATACGTGGATTTCAAAGAACTCTAGATTAAAATCTTACTGCATTCTAATGTCCATTTTATTTCTTTGAAAACAATCATGATATATGGCATATTGTTTCATTTTTTAAAAATGTTTTTGTTTCCGGGCATGTTCATACTTCACTATTCGAGTCCTAACAATGTTAAGATTATAATTTCTCTGATGTGTATTTTTCCAGATTGTCGGTTGTTATGGGAATTTATATACCAGCTTCTCCAGAATCCATACTATAAGGAATATGTCTGTTGGGAAAAATTAGATGACTATGTTTTCAGGATCAACAACCCAACAGGACTGGCACAACTTTGGGGCCACCAGAAAAATCGAACGAACATGACTTACGAGAAACTCTCTCGAGCACTCAGATATTATTACAGAATGAACATCATCAAGAAAGTCTCTGGAAAACGACTTACATATAAGTAGGTTTTATAAAGAAAGTTAATTTTCAACATATTTTAGTTGTTGGTAATACAAAGCACAACTGTTTTATACAGTACAAAAAATTTTATCGCAAATATAAATTTTTTTTAGTCCACCATAATTGTATTTTGAAACCAGCCATCATTTTTTGCTAAAACTTACAAAACAAAATATGTGAATTTCTGCCATTTCACATAGAGGTTGAAACAATTTAAGATGATATTAAGAATATTTTTATGACATTTAAAAATGTGTTTGTCTTACGTTCTCGAAGAAATTAATTCCAAAAGTACACCCGTTAGAGCAACTATGACATCAATATATAAGTCTGTTGTGTAACTGTACGTTGTACTGCACGTCTTATTCAAGTCGATTTTATAATTCAAAAATACACACAGTTCATGTGAATGTAAAAAAGAAATATAAATTCTTTGTCAAATAGAGTTTTATCAACTGCAAATGAAGCATCGGAAGCAAGGTTGATTCAAATTCTATTCATACTTTTGTCATCAAGTCCTACCAAACATTTTTTAAAGGACATGCGCAATTGCTGTTAATCAGAACTTAAACGTTTCTTCCCTGAAAAGGATTCTTTTGATCTTTATCCCTAAATTAAAATTTCACATTTAGAAAACAATTTTTATTGCTATTTTGTTTTACCTAAAAATAGTGTTCATGAAAGATTAAACATAGAACTGAAGATTTCTTTTAATTAGTTGCTATATTGGTTGTGTGTGTCAACAAGAACAAAAAACTTTTTTTTAAATCTATTTTTAAAGGGGGAGGGACCTATATCAACTTTGGCTGATTTAGATCTCACATATATAATGTTCCTAGTTTAACATTGGGTTTTTTCTTGGCCATTTGAAGATTCATAATCCATTATATCAGGCAAGAGTTTGAACTGTAAAGTTGAAAAATATTTTGAATGTATAGAAGCGCTTTACTAGTATTCTGTATAGTGACCATATGAAGTCACAATTTCTTTATATGAGCATCCCAGATTTCAAGATTTGATATAAGACGTACTCTTTAATGATACCGATAGGGTATAAATTATTAGATTTTCATATTTGATTATGCATGGTTTCTGAGTGTGATATCTCTATTCTGAAATAGATTTATGCAACCTCCTTGCAACATACAGAAAGGCCAAAGAGGAGCAAAGCCTCACAGCCGATCAAATCTGTTATCATCTTGTAAAGACGAAGAAGTAGATGATTTTGACGATGAAATGCGCACAGACGACACTTTATTATCATCAGAATTGTCTCAGGCTTCAATAGAATCAAGACCTATTAAACTTGAAATTCCGGACTGTCACGAATTCTCAAGAACAGACGTTACCCGGGATAAGCTTACGAGGAGTATGTCTTACCCGGGAATGATGCATTTGTCCTCGACAAGCAACTCTACGGATGTGATGGATCAGCCAATTGACTTTACAATGACAACGCTGAAGCGTAAAGAAAAGTCGGTTGATGACAGTGTTTCATCCACAAGGACATGTACACAAATGAGTTTTCCACTGACCATTAATGCCCCTGTGTCAACTAACAGTTGACGGATCACTCATCAATGTTGTTAATACTGGGTGGGGTCTCTGTGTGTTGCAGTGGTTTGTGATTTTATATGGTTGTTTTCCAAGTGAAACTGAAACCGGTGCTCATTGTCGACTATGAAAGATAAACGCTACTATGTCAGTAGTGCAAGTGATTTTTTTTCATTGATACAAATCCTCAATTTTACAAATATATAGCTACAAGACTTTATCATGCGATTAAATATTACAAAATGTTTTGTGTAAATATGTGGTCATTATTTGATGACGTAAACACTGATATAAAATCGGTTACGTAAAATAAAATGTTAATCACAATCTATAAACTATATAGTTATATATTTTAGGTCACCTGAGTCACTCAGGTGACCTATTGGTATCTGTTTTCGTCCGTCGGCGTGCGTCGTCAGTCGTCCGTTAACATTAATCTCAACACTTTCAGCTTCTTCTCTGAAACCGCTCAACAAGTTTCAACCAATTTTAGCACATAGCATACATGTATATGAGTGAAGGGGAACAAAAATTGTGATGGTCCCTGCTCGATGGGGCCTGAGGGGTGCACAAGAAACATCAAAATCAATGCAGTCTTTAAAAATCTTCTTTATATTCCTGGACTCCAAGCAGTGTTGGTACATGTGTGATTGTAACAAACATTAAGCCCTTTACAAAAAATTATAAAATTCATGGCCCCAGGGTCAGGATTTCGGGAGTTAGGGTGAGGCTCTATTGATCATATAGTATAAATGCTTTGAAAAGCTTCTTCTCTCCAACTGTATAATTTGCAGCCAAAATAAGTGCATGGCTATCATGACTAACAGTTCTGTCTTCCCACAAATGTTTATTAAAATAGAAAATTTGGTGTTATGACTATTAGTCATAACACCAATTTTTCTATTCTAATAAAATTTGTGGGAAGACAGTTCTTCTAAAATTGTGCAATTCATTGCCCCTGGATCAGAGGTTATGGTAGAAAGGCGGGGCTCTATTGATTGTTTAGTGGAAATTCATTAATTCATATGAAAATGTTCGTCTCTGTTGTTAGGTAGATAAACAGATAGCAGATAATGAGTAAGGGTGCCTGTTCAAAAACTTTGAAATTCATTACCCTGGGTGAGGGGTTCTGGTGTTAGAGCGGGCTCTACTAAATATATCATAAAAATTCATTTATTCTTTGAAAACCTTCTTCTCTGTTCCTAGGTGTTAAGCAGATAAACTAAGTGGATTATCATTATGAACAAGGGTGCCTCTTTCCAAATTGTGAAATTATTGGCCCCTGGGCCCAGGATCAGGAGTTTTGGTGTTAAGGTGGGGCTCTATTGATTATATAATGGGAAAATTCTTTTAAAATCTTCTCCACTCCTGGGTATTTAGCAGATAAACTAAGTGCATGGCAGTGATGAGCAAGGGTTCGTCTTCTAAAATTGTGAATTTCATGGCCTCTTGGTCAGGGATTCCAGTGGTAGGGTGGGGCTTTATTGATTTTATATAATGAAAATGCATCAATTCTGTGGAAATCTTCTTTCTCTGCTCCTAGGTATATCGCAGATAAACTAAGTGCCTTGTAATGATGAGCAAGGGTGCCTCTTCCAAAATTGTAAAATTCATGGCCCCCTGCGTCAGAAGTTCTGGTGTAGGACAGGGCTCTATTGATTATAAAGTGAAAATGCTTTAATTCCTTGAAAATATTCTTTGTTCTTAGGTATTTAGCAGATAAACTAAGTGCATTGTTATGATGAGCAAGGGTGCCTCTTCCAAAATTGTAAAATTCATGACCCCTGGGTGAGGGGTTTTGGTGTTAGGGTGGGGATCTATCGATAATATGGTGAAAATGCATTAATTCCTTGAAAATCTTTTTCTGCTCCTTGATATTTAGCAGATAAAATTAGTGCATAGTTAAGATGAAGAAGGGTTCCTCTCCCAAAATTGTAAAATTCTTGGTCCCTGGTTTAGAGATTCGGTGTTATGGTGAGACTCTATTGATTTTAAAGTGAAAAATCATTAATCCTTTAAAAATCTTCTCTGCTCCTAGGTATTTAGCAAAACTGAGCAAAGAGGTTTTTTTTACCAGATCTGTGAAATTTTTGGCAACTGAGACATGGGTTATTGTGCTGGGCATGTCTCTATTAATCTATCATGGTTTACGATCAAAACTTGATATATTGGACAAATATTTTAGTGACTGGTGTCTTAGTATTGACTTATCCAAGACAAAAACTATGACTTTTAACAGGTCTGGAAAAAAATTGTCAGAATATTTTTCTTTTCAATGTGTTCAACAATACAAATATCTTCGTGTATACTTTTGTAGCTCAGGTTCTTTTACCTTTGTTCAAAATGAATTATATCAAAATGCCTTGAAAGCATGTTCAAAAATACATGCAGAGAGAAATTATGTATAATTGTCACAATGTCAATATCAACTTATATTCTTCTGCATGGTTGTGAAATGTGTGTGTTGGGGGGGAGGGGGGGGGGTAACCCCTTGTCTTCCAAATTTAAAAGCAAAAATATTACAATGGACAAAGTATTTAACAAATTAAATTGTAAAACAGTGCACATTAGATACTGTAAGGCAATTCTTGGTGTATAGAGAACGTCAACTAATTTTGTAGTTTTATCTAGCTAGGTAGATTCCCCCTGTATTATCAAGTCATTAAAGCTGTGCTAAATTATTGGTTTCGACTTGAAACATTACATCCATCTTTTGCCCCTACTCAAGGAAGCGTATTCAGTCTAAAAAAAAACGTCTTTTCCTACACAATAAACCATCATGGTATGCATCCATCCAAACAATATTGGGTAAGTTACTAGTATCTGATTTCACAAATACTGACTTATCAAAACAAATACTTACTCATTTAAAAAGAAGTCATCATGTATTATACGACAGTATTTTTTTAATCTGTAGTATAAAGAAAATGAGTAGCAAAAAAATGGCAAACTAAGAACGTATGCCACTTACAAAAATAACTTTGGAAAAGAGCACTATCCCAACATTGTTTATAACTATGATCAGAGGGAAAATATAACTAAACTTCGTATTTCGGCACATCAATTAAATATTGAATGGGATGATATGCAGGACTCCCCCCTGAATTTAGAGTGTGTTCTCAATGTAATATGCAGGAGGTTGAAGATGAACAGCACTTTTTACTTATCTGTCCAAAATATAACAATGAAAGTTTACAATTAATGGAAACAATTTCAAAAATTAATTCAATCTTTTCTTCTTTGACACCTGCTAAAAAACTGATATGGATTTTGAATAATGAAAATAAAGAAGTGTTATGCTTACTCGGAAAATTCATTTTTGAAAATGATAAAAGAACCAAAGTATAAATACATCATCATGTGCATGCATGTGTTTTGAAATTTTGAAATTCTTGAAATTCTAAAATATATATATATATATAAAACATCCAAATATATAAATACAGGTATAAACATGTAGCATAACATATTTGTATTGTCTTATGATCATTGACGTTGGACACTTGACGTATTGTCTATGATCATTGACACTGAATACAAAGTGACTTCTAGCCTGATTACTTTTATATAATTATTAAATTGTAATTTCATTGATCTTTACAGGGTTGTATTATATTAAAGTGACCGTTAAGGTCATTAAGCCTCTTCTTGCTTTACTTGAAAACCATGTAGGAATATGCTTTTAAAAAATCAGTAAATGTTTGCTGAATATAAATTCTAATCGGTTGGTTATTTTATTTTTTGTTCAAGTAAGTTTTGTATGTTCGTTTTAACATTACTACATGCGGCCTATTGAAGGTTGTTAAACTGTCAATGAGAAAAATGGCCGACCTTGGTAAGTCTTTTTTACATAAAACCGGATATAATTTCTGATATCTGAATATACATAAAATGTCAGTTCTGTCATCATTAGGTCACCCAAATCACTCCCTCGCCCGTTCTTTCCCGGAACTGTTGCACCAACCATTTTATGATCCCCTGAGTCACTAAGGTGATCTATTGTAATCTGTTGTCTGTCGTCCTTCAAGTGTTCACATTTAAACATTTTCAGATTCCTCTCTGGAACCGCTGAATCAATTTCAACCAATTTTGGTATACAGCATCTACTGGTAAAGGGGAATAAAAATAAAAATTTTAACCCCACCCTGGGGCCTGAAGGGTGGGGTTAAACCATCAAAATTAATGCAATATTTAAAATTTACTTCCAGATATCAAGCAGTTAAACTGAATTGATTATAATTAAGCATTGAGCCCTCTGGCACTCATGGCCCTATGGTCAGGGATTTAGGATGGATATCTATTGATAATATAGTGAAAATGCATTAAAACTATGAAAATTTTCTTTCCTACTCCTAAGCATACAAATGCATAGTAATGATGAGCAAGGGTGCCCCTTCCAAAGTTGTGAATTTGTCGGCCCTTGGGATAGGGGTTCTGGTGTTAGGACTGGCTCTGTTGATTTTATAGTGAAATGCATTGTTTCTATAAAAAAAATCTTCTCTGCGTGCTCTCTGGTATTAAGCAAACAGCTAAGTGCATGATTATGATGAGCAAGGGTGCCTCTTCCAATATTCTGAAATTCATAACCCCTTGGTCAGGGGTCCTGGTACTTGAATTTGCTGGATATATAGTGAAAATGCATTAATAATTTCTTTGAAACCCTTCTCTGTCCTTGGATATATTTAACAAACAAAATCAATGCGTTATCATGATGAACAGGGTGCCTCTTACAAAATTGTGTGAATATCACAGCCCCTGGGTCAGGAGTGAGGTATTACGGTGGGACTTTATTGATAATATAGTAAAAATCGTGATTTCTCTGGTTTGTTTAACGTCCCTTCGAGAATTTTTCGTTCATATTGAGGAGCCACCACTTGCAGAAATACCCCGAAAGTTCTCTGACGTTGCTTTTACTCTTGTATTTAAATGCGACTGAAAATTCTTAATGAGATTTATACATCAAAATGCCCAAAGAAGTCTATGGTCTTTTTCGTTGTTATTGAAACGGGAAGATCGTCGAGAAGTTACCAGGTACATCATATGACGTACCGGTATACGCAGATACGTACCTTGCGGGTAATTGTGTATAAATAAATTATTAAACAGAGCAATATAGATTTTAGGGTAAAAGTGTAAAACTTTTTCAGGTACGTGTTAATGAATATTGAAAGACTGACAACTATGCCCTAAGTATAGTATAGTTTAAAGGTATTTTGCCCCTTGGGTCTGAAATATAAATTTGGCCTAAAACCCAATCTACACACTTTTCTATGAAAATTA